AATGAAAACATAATGTATCAAAATGATGGGACACAACTAAAAGCCCTTGAATGGAAAGTATACCTTTCTGTGCCATAAAAAAAACAAGAATGGTTTAAAGTCAATGATACAATTTACTATCTTAAGGAGCTAGGACAATTGGGCATACTAAATACAAAGTAGAAGAAAGGAAATAATAGACATCAGAAATCAATGAAAGAAACCCTAGTAGCATAGAGGATTACGAGCTGGACTGTTAACAGCAAGGGGATCAGTTCAAATCTACCTGCTGCTCCTCATGAGAAGGATGAGGCTTTCTGCTTCCTTTAAGATTTACAGCCTCGGAAGGCCCTATACAGGGTTGTTATGAGTAGGAACTGACTCAATGGCATACAACCACTACTATAACTATAAATCAATTCAAATACAATAAAAAAAATAGAGAATTTAAGAAGCCAAAATTAGATTTGGTGAAAAGACACAAGGGGTTCTTAATAAAATCCATAGTTTGTAGATAAGGAATCAGTTAACTAAAACACATACAGGTCCTCCCAAAGCTAATAAAAGCACTGGGAATTAACATGTAATGTAATTCTGGATTTTAGATTTTAGTAACTTCTGTTTTGCAAATATATGTTACGTAATACTCCCGGTGAGTTTCGGGTTGTTACTGTTGTCAAGTACCATTGAGTTGGTTCCGACTCGTAGCAACCTTATATAGGACTTCAGAGAAATGGTTGGTATGTTTGAACTGCTAACCTTATGGTTAACAGTCCGGTGCTTACCCTACCAACACCACACCAGGACTCCACTCACATTAATAACCACAGTGAAATGTATAAATATTCTTTTTAAAAAAAACAATACTTTTGTTATTGAGAACATACACAGCACAACATATACCAAAATTCAACAATTTCTCATTTCGAATTCAGTGATGCTGATTACATTCTATGAGTTGTACAATTCTTACCCTCTTTATCCCAAGGAGTTCCTCACCCATTAATATAAGCTCACTGCCCAGTAAGTTTTCTAATATTTATAGTTGCTGTTATCAATTTGATTCCATAAAGACAGATCTTAAAATAAATAATTACAAGTAGCATCATCTCAGTACAAGATAGGTTTTAGTAGCAAAAAAAATAAAATAAAATAGCATTATAAAACAAACTGGACTTTTAAGACATTTATTGTTCTCTTAATTTCAGAATTTTAGGAAATTAAATAAGGGCCCCTAGTGGTACAGGAAACAAGGCATCTTCCAACATGTAATTTTATAGTGAAAAAAAAAAAGTCTGATCAAACTATTCAAACACACAATAGTAAATACCGATACTCAGGTCAACACAAATTGGACTTTCAAATTAAAAAACTTCCTTTTTTACTGAAGCAAATTTCATGCAAAATATATTTGATATCCACAAAGAAGTCTAGCTAAATCCTATTTCTACAAGGAATCGCATAGCGTATTTAAAATATTCTTCACAGAAAATCTATTGACCAAATTTCTCTAGACATTATCTCAAACTCTAGGGAAACCCCCAATCCTACACACCTAATATTGAATTCTCAGGAGGGTTATAGCATGAAGAACAGTAACAGAACAGTATTAATATGAAAATTTGTAGAATGTCCTTTCAATTTCATGCAATACTCCTATGGATTCTAATTGGAGCCATGCATGCATTAAGTCAGATATTTGTACTTACTATTACTGCTACTGCTGTCATTCCTAAGGGAGTTGGCTGCAACAGGGGGTAACATAAATGGTTTTGTGACACTGACTCTGGAATCTAAATGAAAAGCAATAATTTGTCAGTGCTGCACCATGTTACATAAATTACAGAGTCCCCAAAGGTGAAGCGCAATACCAGTGAAATTTCCAGGTCTCCTCCCCAAATCTAAAGTCTTATGCAGATCCTATTTATTTCACACTGGTCCTGTAGTTTCGTTTGATTAACAAATTCAACACAGTTATATTTTAGAGCAAAGATGGATAGCTATGTTAAATATATTTTAAATAACAAATTATTATTAATTTGTCATTAAAAACAATGAAAGACAATCAAAATTAAGATTTGTTAAAGGGCTTAAGTGGGATCAAAGAAATCTTAACACCGATATAAGAAAGTGAATTTATGACCCAGAGTGAGGCCTTTAAGGATAAGATTTGAGGAGGGAACATTTAAAAGACAGACAGTAAAGAATAATACAATTTTAAATGAAAAGGTTTTAAAAAAGAAATCAGGTAAGATAAAGTGACTGATTATCTTACATAGTGTCCACTTACATACAATGCTTTAATTTGAAATTGACAAATGCTTGGCTTGCAAATTAACCAATCCACATCTTGCATGTATTTTATATTTAATCACACATGCACATATATATCTTTTTATAGTTTCACAACTATTTGATTCAGATATAGATCCTTACTTAAACATGTAAGATTCAAGCTTGGTAAATACATTGGAATTGACATGCTTGCATATCTTACCTTTCTCAGGACTTAATGTTGAAGAAAGCACACAATCACTAGTTTCAGATGTCTTACTAAAGTCTTTGAAAGCATCTATAGATCTATTAAAAATGGTAAAGAATTCTTCAGGAGTAAATAGCCTGGGTTCTGATGTTTTTATTGCATTCTAGAAATAAAAAACAAAAACAACAAAAAGCCAGAATTACATCTTTCAAATACTTTAAAGACATAACTGATGTCAATGTTGCTGTTGTTAAGTGTCACTGAGTTGGTTTCAGCTCACAGTGACCCTGTGTAGGGTTTCTGAGGCTATAAATCTTTGTGGGAGCAGAAAGCCTCATCTTTTTCCTGTGGAGTGGCTGGTGGTATAGCAATAAAAAAGTACTGCTACAAAATCACAAAAACAAAGATATCAAAACGTAAAGCTATTATTTCTTGGCACATCCTTCCCTAGGACTATACACTACTGAAGGTAGTATTCCCACCTCTCTAATCCTTTGTTGGGGACTCCTGACGTGGTGCTGTAGGATTAGCACTGGACTCTGAATGAACCACAGGTCAGCAGTTTAAACCCACCAGTTGCTCCTCAGAAACTCTATACAGGGTGGCTATGAGTTGGAACCAACTCGATGGCACATGACAACAGCAACAATCCTTTCCTGAAGAATTCTGCACTCTTCGATTTACACATCAAAACGGCAGTTTTAAAATCCCCAAGGAACTCAAATAATGTTCCTTTTAAATATTCATTGAGTTTGGGGAACCAAAAGAAGTCTGAAGGAGCAAAATCAGGATTGTTGGGTGGATGGGTTAGGGTTTCCCAGTAAGATTCTTGTAGGACACCCCTTGGTACCCTGGAAGAATAAGCAAGTGGCATTGTTCTGATGGAAACAACAAAAAAAATCATCAGTGCAACTTTCCTGGTGTTTTTGTCAACAATGCAGTTTTCAATTCTATTAAATTTCCTCATAATTAGCTCCCATGATCGTCCAGTGTCCTTCAAGAAAATCTATCGAGATTACCCCTTACTGGTCCCTGTAAAAATGTCACCATGGCCTTCTGTCTTGGATTTAACTGGCCCAACAGATACTTTTGGAAGCCACTGTTCTGATTTTGCAAATCTTTTTTTAAGGCAGCCCTGGTGTGGAGGAGTCCCGGTGTGGCGCTGTGGGTTAAGGTGCCAGACTGCAAAGTCGTTTGAATTGCAAGGTCGGCGGTTCAAGTTCACCAGATGCTCCTTGGAAACCCTATACAGGGTCGCTATGGGTCTGAACCTACTCGACGGCACTTAACAACAATAATTAGACTAAATCAAATAAAAATCCATGGCTACAGAGTCAATTTTGCCTTATAATAACCCTGTAGAGGGTTTCCAAGGCTGTACATCTTTACATGAACAGTAAGCCTCATCTTTCTCCAGGGAGTGGCTAGTGCTTACCCTACAATACTACCAGGTGCTTACAATACAATAGTCCAGTGCTTACCCTACAAAACTACCAGGGCTCCTTTAGATGCTAAGACAAGTGTATTACTGAGACAACTTGTTTGCAGTCATTCACTGATTGCAGAGACATGTTTAAACATAGAATAAACCCATCCATGTATGAAGTAGAACCCAAGTAGCAATACTTTTTGACATACCTTTGTGAATAAACCACTTAGAATAATACATAATAAATGCTACAAAAATGTTAGCTATTGTAATTTTTACTAGAATCCCTGGGTGGCGCAAAAGGGTTCATGCACTTGGTGATCAACTGAGAGGCTGGTGGTTCAATTTATAGTTTCTATGAGTCAGGATTGACTCCGGCATACAACAAAATGGCTACACTATGGATAACAGGGGAAGTGCAAGGGCTTCTTTTAGTCAATTTTCCATTTAAACATAAATGAACATTTGTAACCTACTTGCTAAATTGTGAAGACTTCCATTCTTAAATGAAATAAAGATAAAGGTGAAGAAATGCCACCTTTATACTAAGTGTTTAAGCCCTATGCTCACTTCAGTACTGCAGTGTAACTACAAAATCTTTCTGTACTCAATTTTAAAATATTTTTTTAAATTTAAAGTTTATAAATTCAAAGTTACACACATAAATATGTCCGTTTCCTCTGCCACAATTAGCATACCTTTTAGAGAAGAGTAATAAAAAAACATCTCAAGGAATAGAAGTTTACCTTAGCTGAGGATGACTCCACACACTCCACCAAGTCATCCGCAATCTTCACAAGTTTATCTATAATCGAATAATTACTCAAGCCTTCAGAAATACTTGAAAACTTGCTCAGAAGATCAGTCAAGCTGATTGTCAACTGTTTCACCATATCATTTATCCAACAATGACTAGGCTATTAAAAAAAAAAAAAGGAAATTTACATACAATAAACTTAGCACATCCTTCAAAGCCAATAATGTTTCAGTCATTGACTTCTGGACAAAGGATTTTGTTTTCCCAGTGTCTCCATGGGTCAGCAGTCAAGTTGAAGGCAGCTTGCATGAACAAGGAATCTTGGTGTGGCACTGTAGGATAAACACTGGACTGTTAACCACAAGGTCGCAAACCCACCAGCCACTCCTTGGAAATCCTATACAGGATAGTTTTGAGACCGAACTGACTAGGCGGCACTCAACAACAATAACAATAGCAACATGTTTCTAACATGTTTAACAGACTTCAAGGTTCTTCATCAATTAAAGCATATGGTATTTAAAACAAACACTATCCCCGATAGGAATGTGGTCTGGAAGAGAAACAGTTTTGTCTAGTAGTTGCATCACCTACATAATGGCCCAGTGCATAAGGAAAAAGAGTGGAACCTGGTTCAAAACTAATAAGAATTTCAAAACAGTAACAGCGGATATTAAACCCAGCATGTGGCCCTTCTAACATGGGACAAGTCCCATCACCCCCATGAAGCCAGGCCTGCCCAGCAGTTGGAAGCTCACACTGATGAGTCAGATTATCTTTGAATTCGATGCTGAATGAGAGACTATAGGCGAGCTACAATTTATTCTGAAGCTCCCTTTGTCTATAAGATGGGAATAATGGTTTCTATATAGGGTGGTTGTGATGACATAATGCAGGTAATTTAATATAAGTTGTGTGGCTGGACTCATAGTGACCCTTACAGGGTTTCCGAGGCTGTAAATCTTTACGGGAGCAGAACGCCTCATCTTTCTCCCATGGGACAACTGGTAGTTCGAACTGTTGACCTTGCGGTTCGCAGCCCAATTTGTAACCACTATGCTACCAGAGCTCCTTTGTGTAAGGGCAGCACTGTTTTAAAGTCTTCTTCCTTGAGGTATTCCCAGTACATAGCAAAGTGCCTAGTCAATTGGAATTTTTCAGAAACAAATTGCTGAATGCATGCAGCAGTGAAAAATAATGAATGAGTGAAGTAATATATTTCACACCAGTTCTGTCTATAAAAGACCCAAAATGTAAACATTTTAGGCTTTGTGCAGCAAGAAGTTAAACTGAGAATATGATGCAGGATGCATAATGAGAAGGCAGCTCTCGGTAACACAAATGGTCAATGTGCTTGGCTGCTAACTGAAGGGTTGAAGAGTTTCAGCTCACCCAGAGGCCTCTTGAAGAAAGGCTTGGTTGGCAATGCACTTCTAAAAACTCACCTATTGAATATCCTAGGCAGCACAAATTGACTATGACATACATGGGTCACCATGAGTTAAAATCTGTTTGACAGAACTAGTAATAAATATAATATTGTTGTTAGGAATTATCATCAAGTCAAGTCTGTTTCAAATGAGAGGTGGTAAATTTCCACAAAATTTGCATCAATAGAATTCAAAGTAACAATAATAATGGGATAGGATTTCTTCTGTAAAACAAGTCTTCCAGTGAGAATAATGGAATTCTTTATTTGGGGGTAAAATTTTGTTTAGTTGGAATTCTAAGCTAACATTTTTTAATCGTCAAATTGACTGCAAATGTTTGTCGATAAACACTAATATTAGCTTGTAAACTATTAAAAAATCAGGCAACAGGCCAGATTTGACCATGTGTTATAGTTTGCTGACTCTTGCTTTAAATGGTTGTCGATCAATATAGGTTTAGATTATTAGGAAAACTTCATTGTATGTAAGATTTAAAAAAATGCTGCTGCATTAATTGTTCTGAAGTTCACATACTTCCTATGCATCTTTTGGAGGGATGCAATTAGTTTATTTAGGAAGTGATTCCAGGAAGCATATGTAAGCATAAGGGAAGTAAAACAGCTTAGAGAGGAGGAAACCAATAAAGGTATATGTATGAGGGGGTTACAGTCATAAGCAACTCAGGCTCAAATCTGCTGAATCCTCTAAGGACCCACCTCAGAATTTTCCCCTCATGTGGTATGTGACCTGAGATATGTATCTCCTAGCTCCAGGTCCTTGATGCTTGAGGGTTGCTTCAGGGGTATTGATTCCTCCTCTACTTCATGTAATTTTAATGTTATCTTTTTCTTACTAAGCTCTCATGAGCAGACTGATTTGAACTCTGTTAAAATGTTACAATGGGGAAAATGAGACTATTAGTTGTTGTTGTTGTTAAGTTCCATCGAGTCAATTCCTGTAGAGTGTTTCCAAGGAGCAGCTGGTAAGCTTGAATTGCCGACCTTGAAGTTCAAACGGCTTTGCAGGCTGGCACATTAGCCCAAAGTGCCACACCAGGATTTCGGATAACATGGCCCAAATTTATTTACTTAGTAACTTATTTACTCTAAATAAAACCTGTAGGCTTTTTAATACCCATTTAACAGAGCAAGTTTAATTATTATAATACTAAACCAATCAGGAGGACTGGTGAGACAGAGTCAAATAAGCATTGAATTGCTAACTGCTTGGTTGGTGACAGTTCAAACCTACTAGCCACTACTCAGAAACCCTACATAGAGTATGAGTTTAAACCAATTCCACAGCACTTAATAATAACACCATCAATATAGCCAAAGAGGAAACAGATTTATCTACAGATAGGTAAGCCCCAATTCCTGGAAGCATTAACTCTAGTTTTAAACTTTTAGGATTGTTAACTCTAGCTTCAGATAAGCAGGAAAACAAGCCACCAAATGGAAATTAGTTCAAATGTGTACCTAGGGTATTTCAACTCATCAAAACCAAGCTCTCAAAGACTACCATGTTTCTCAGATACTTTCAGAATGGATTCCTGAGCTTTGCATTAAGTAAAAACTTATCTCAAGTACTTGCAAGTTCATGTTTGCATCATTAACAGGTTTTTTTCAAAGGTGTCATTCTGGTGCTGGTGCTGAACTGCTCAGCTAGTCACCTAAATTAAACAACAAATAAACGTGGAGAACAAGCCCTTGTCATGGAGTTGACTCGAACGCTTAGTGACCCCTGGTGTGACATTGTAGAACTGTACACCACAGGACTTGTGGCACTGTCAGATAAGCACTGGACTTCAAGGTGGGTTCGAACCACAAAGTTGGTGGTTCAAACTCATCATCAGCTGCTCCTTGGAAACCCTGTTCAGGATCGCTGAGTCAGAACTGATTTGATGACACTTAATAACAATAACAATTTTTCCAAGTAGAATGCCAGGTCTTTCTTCTGAGGTGCCTCTGGGTAAACTGAAACTTCTAACCTTTTGGTTGCACCATGCTGGGCAGCCTCTCCCCATTTGTTGTTAAGTGTTTTTGAGATGCTTCTTGATACACAGCAACACTCCTACTTGACAGACTAGAAATGCCCATAGGGTTTTCTAGGCTGCAATCTTTACAGAAGAAGATTGCCAGGTCTTTCTTCCTTGCTACAGCGAGGTGGGAACCTTAAGACTAGGAGACAAAGTACTTAACTGTTGGTTCGCCAGGTCTCCAGTTACCAAAAAGAAAAAAAACAAACAAACAAGCAAACAAACAAACAACTATTACCATTGAGTTGCCTCTGAGTGAGAGGTGAAATGCCCTAACTATTCCGAAGGCTGTAATCTTTATGGAAGCAGAATGCCCCATCTTTCTCCCACAGAGTGTCTTGTGAATTTGAACCACTAGCCTTCTGTTTAACAGCTAAAAAAAAACAACAACCAAACTACTAGGCCAATAGGGCTTAAGCCTCCATTTAGGCAATAATTCTCTTTATAATTAGTCCTATCAGCAAGAGCGAGATTGGCTAGGATGTGTGACACAACACATACAGCTCAAAATTGCATCCATATGGTAGAATGTTGTTGTTAAGTACGATCGAGTTGGTTCTGATTCAAAGCATCCCTGTTTAGGGTTTCCAAAAAGCGGCTAGGGAGTTTTAACTGTCAATCTTGCAGTTCAACTTACTTTGTGGTTCAGTGCTTATCCTATAGTGTTACTCCATATGGTGGAATTGTCATTTGTCGTTGTGTGTCACGGAGTCGGTTCCGACTCATAGCCTCCCTTGCCTAGGGTTTTCGAGGATGTAAAGTAAATCTTTAAGGGAAAGTCTCATCTTTCTTCCATAAAACTAGTAGTTTTGAACTGCTTGCTGATCTTGGGGTTAGCAGCCCAACTCATAACCATTACGCTACCAGAGCTTCTTATATGGTGTTGTTGTGTGCCGTGGAATCAGTTCCGATTCATAGTGACCCTGTACAGGGTTTCCAAAGCTGTAAATCTTTACGGGAGCAGAAAGCCTCATCTTTCTCCTGCGGAACAGTTGGTATGAATTGGGTTGGCAGCCCGATTCATAACCACTACGCTACCAGAGCTCCTTATATGGTGGAATTGTTGTTGTTGTTATGTGCCGTGGAGTATGTTCCGACTCATAGCGACCCTGTACAGGGTTTCCGTGGCTGTAAATATTTACAGGAGCAGAAAACCTCATCTTTCTGCCACGGAACAGCTGGTAGTTTCGAACTGCTGACCTTGTGGTTCACAGTCCGATTCATAACCACTACGCTACCAGAGCTCCTAAGTCTTCATCAATTAGTTCATTCTGTTATAAAATGCAAAAATTTCTGCAGCAAGTAGTTATCACATACTAATCCTTTTAAACTCCTTTATTTCATGAACATATTTGCCAAGCCTCCTCTCTAATTTCTGACACGTTTTGAACTAAAACATTCCTTTTGATTCTGTGGTCTTTGCTTTAAATGAATGGAGCTCCTTCATTATTATTTTTTAAATTCTGTTTTGTTTTCCGTCAGGTAAAACATAAAAAAGAGCTTTATTTTTTATTATTTGCTTGTTTCTTATTTTTAAACTGGGGAGCTCTGGAGTGCTTGCTACCACTTCTGTTTACCTCTATTTTCAAAGGAACTATCTATTTACATTTTGGTTCCTAGGTCCCACTTAGCTATAATAACTCCTTCCCTACCCCCTTCATTTTCACATAGCTAAATCAGTATTCTGAGAAA